CTCAACCTTCATTGTGACCCTGAATAAAGACTTTCCTTCTCCACTCTGACATGTTCTCTGTCTGTAAAGCAAAAAATTAGATACAGTTCTACTTATCCTGAGCAACCCATTAGGTAACTTGCGATCAAAGTCTCTGAGGTTTTTTGGGGGTTTTTTTCCTACCCCTTAATTATTTTTCTATTCTTATTACAAGATCACATTGAAGTTCTTCCTCTCCTTCACTGGCCTTCTACTTTTTCAAGGATCGTATCTTTATCCAAGGACCAGTCCATCCTGATAACATTCCCAAAGTATATGAAACAAATACAGTGTATGCAACAATGGGTTTAAGCACAACAGAGATTTTCAAGCTGGCACAGGATCGGGCAGGGTTTCCTCCTGTTGTAAATGAGTCCCTATCAATTGGAGCCAGCTCGACAGCACCTAACAACAATCATATGTCCAAAGAGTTCTGGTGGTACAATGGCTAAAGGCTTGAATGCTAACCAAAAAGTCAGAGAGTCAAACCCACCAGCCAGTCAACAGAATAAAGATGTGGCAGTTTGCTTCTTGTAAGGATTACAAACTCTATGGAGCAGTTTTATTGTGGCCTATAGGGTATAGACATCATAACGGATGGAGAAAGGAGTGAAGCAATTAATTATTGCATCTTGCATGAATCAATAATCAAAACACTCCTGATACCAGCAGTCAAGAAATCAAGAGACATATTCCATTGGGCAAGTCTGCTATCAAGGACTTCTCCAAAATACCTAAGAGCAATGATGTGAATTTGAAGACTAAGGTGTGCCTTATTCAGGTCATGGTCTTCTCAATCACTTGCTATGCATCAGAGAGCTGGACAATGAATAAGGATGGCAGAAGAACTGATGCCTTCAAGTTGTGGTGCTGGAAAAGAATAGGGAATATCCCCTGGGCTACCAAAAGAACAAATAAATATGGAAGTCTGAGGATAGGACAGGATAGGACAGGGTTCAGATCTGTTGTTTATAGGGTTGCCATGAAAGATCTTTTTCATTATTCAGGCAACAGATCAGGTTTTGACCCCGTCCACCACCCCTTTAGGCTCATGTGTCTTGTTCCCACTCCCACCCCTTCTCTGCTAGCGTCCAGCTCAATTCCCTCTCTTTGTCCCTCCAGCACCTCACACCCTCTGCCCCTAGCCAGTCCTGGCTTCATGGCTCAGGCCTCCACCTATTTTTATCCACCTGTGTCTTGGAAATATGTCTTGGAGAAGGTTCAGCCAAAGTGCTCCTTGGAGGCAAGGATGGTAAAACTTCATCTCTCATACTTTCGACATGTAGCTAGGTGAGGCTATTTTTGGAAAAGGACATCATTCTTGGAAAGGTGGAGGGTCAGTGAAGGAGAATAAGACCCACAACAAGATGTGTTGATGCTGTGACTTCAGCACTGGGCTCTAGTGTACCATAGATGATGAGAATGGTACAGGATAGGGCAGGGTTCAAGTCTTTTGTTCATAGGGTCGCTATGAATTGTACTCGATTCTAAGACACTTTACAGCAACAATAGGATCTCCACATACTGGAATCTACTCAATAGCAATGAAGTTTTTCCATTTGGTTTGATTTTTTGTGGAGTTTTGTTTGACTTTGTTTATCATAACCAATATTTGAGCCCCTGGTACCAGTGGATAGTTTTTATTTTGTACTCACCATCACAAAGCAAAGAATTTCTTGTACTTGCAGCTTAGTTTTGGGTCAGCACCCTTCCCTGATTACTACTTTTCCTGTATAACTCTTTCTTTTATTGCATCAGTAGGACATCCACCAGTTAAAATGTCTTCTCTGAGTTCCAGTGTTTCTTTAGCAAAACTCTTGCCAAACTAGTGAAAGGACAGGAATGTGAGTGATCAGGAATAAAATTCATATGAGCCATTGTGGGAATTGAAAAGATTGGAGGTAGAGTCTATCCTGTGTGCATAATAGATACCAATTTAATTTGCATACATTGTTATAGTTGTACATCTGCATAAGCTGTTCTTAGTTATTTTTGAAAAGGCTACAAAGGGTCCTCTTATTCCAGCTCCTGTTTTCTCTCCCCTTAGTCTACCCATGCCTGTTGCCCCAAGAGAGCAATAATAGTTCCCAAAGCTAAATTTGCAACACATGTGTCTATGGCAAATAACTTTAATAAGTGTTTTATGGGGATGATGGGGTCAAGGGACCCTATAACTATCTTCCCAAGGGTCCCTGCTATTCCTGTTAGAGAATATAAGGAGTTTCCGTTTTAATTGTCTGGGAAAGTATCTTTTAATGGGTTCCTCCTCCTTCACTCCTAACAATTGCCCCTAAAATTAAATTGATGCTATTTGGCTTTTAAACTATAAGGTTACAATCTTTATTAATTCCATCCTTCTCTATTCCTAGCCCACCTCAGCTCCTTGGAAAAAGTTGGATAGCAGAGTAGTGGAATCCTCATATGTCTTGAATCTTTGCTAAAAGAGCAATGAGTAAATTTGTGAATGGTGACCTGGTGGTAAGAAACTGTGCTGCAATCCCAAAAGCACGTGGTTTGAATCCACTAGCTGCACTGTGGGAGAAGGATGAGCAATCTCCCATGTGATTAACTGCCTCTGAAAACAGCTATGGGTTAGTTCGAGCTCATTGACACACAAGAAAAAGAGCTATGCTTTTGTTAAGGACCACAGCTTTGATGTGTTCCTCAGTCACTAATTCGCCAAGTATTTAATGATCACTTTCCATGAGACATAAATTATGGTAGGTACAGTGTTGAACAAAACAACATGCTTCACTCTGTGGAGCTTGCATTCTAGTGCTGTCATGTACTGTTAATTCTTGTTTCTACAAATTGTCTAGCATCTCTGTGTCCTGCTATGTGATCTCATACTATTGCCTGTTTAGAATCTCATTACATCTTATCTAAACTATACTTAACTGCTGTGTCTTCCCCCTATCCAGTCCATCCTTTATATCATCAGGGACATGTTTCTGATTAAGTCATTTCCCTACTTAAAAGCATGCAAACAACTATCTAAAAGTATCCACACCTCCACTTCTACTACCTACCAAATACAGGCTTCACTCCTAAGCATACTGTTTAGAGTCCACCGTAAATTGGCTCCAATGTACTTTTTTTCCCCAATGTAGTTTCTGAATCAGAGGTTGATTACTCAATAACTAAGGTAAGCACTGCCTTACCTGGCTCGCACACTGATCTGTAGTGAACTGTTGGCATTCATTTTGCCACATGATGTAGTGAAAAAAAAACACCCCAAAACCCATATGAAACTGTTCACTACAGACTAATAAGTAAACATAAATTGGCGATTACCTTGTTTACTGAGTACTCTATCCCAAGCAAGGAGTGAAAATTTGAAAAGGGGCTTTGATTCTGTAGGAAAGTGCTATGGGTCTGGCAGAGAGACGGATGCCAGCCAGAACTAGAAGCAGAATCTTTGATGTGGGGGGGGGGGAGAAGTGTAATTGCTCACAACAGATTAGTAAATGAGCACAAGTGAGCATATTTGGGGCATGTTCTCAGAAGGGGCCGGTCATTGGAAAAAGACATCATGCTGGGGAAAGTTGAGTATTAGAGAAAGCAAGAAAGACCCTCAACAAGATGAATGGACACAGTGACTGTCACAGTGTACTCGAGCATATCAGAGCTCATGAGGATGACACAGGATAAGGTAGAGTTCAGATCTGTTGTTCATAGAGTTGTTGTAAGTGGAAGTCAGCTAGATGGGACCTAACAACAGCAAAACCCATGCTTACTTCGCTTATTGGGTAATCCAACACTAAATTTTACCCCCTTCAACTGTTCCGTTTTATGGACTCCATGTTCTCCACCACCCCTTCTTGACTTGGAAATATTTTTCTGGAATATCTCCACCAATTCTATCTGTGAAACATCTATCACCTTTCAAGGTCCAAGTCACAGAACCTCCCCAATCTCCCTTTCTCTTTATAATTTGCACAGCCTTTTTTAGTTTTGTGTGGCAGGCTACTATCTTAACTCCTAGACCTGAATGTGAAATTATCAAGCATAGGAATGATGTGTTATCCTCTTTGGTTATTCTCCCCTTGGGAATATGTGAATTTTTTTTAAATAAATGGAACCAGTTTATTAAAGAGCACCAGCTCATCCTGGAGTTAATGTGAAATAATCTTCTCCTCCCAGTAACTATCCTAACAGTGTCAAATCCTTTTTCCCCCCACAAGGCAAAGATACTTAAGAGAAAGTGTTCTTGAACCATGTGCCTTTGAGATTGTAGCCCAGCTTCTTTCCACTAGGCCACCAGAGCTCCCATTCGTATCTAAGCTAAAATATCGAGAATTGGCTCCTGGCACATTTCATTGTCTAGGGTAATATTGAATTGCTAGATTTTGGAAGGTGATAATTTACCACTTATTGTCAACCTTCAGCTTTAGAAACATGAGAAAGAAAATATTTTAAAAATATAAAAATAATGTGTGTGGTAATAATGTATGTGGTTTAACTTAACAGGTGATCTCATATTGGTTTTATTCATTCTATGAAAACACTGTCTTAGCATTTAACTTGTGCTGCTTCCCCATTATGGCATCCTTATTTCTACTAGCCAAGGATGGCAAAGCCTTGTCTCACTTTGGGAATGTTGTTAAGAGGAGATTTTCCTTGGAGAGGGACATCATGCTTGGAAAGGTGGAGAGGTCAGTGAAAGAGAGAAAGACCTCAGCCAGATGGATTGACACAGTGATTGCAGCAATGGGCTCAAGCTGAGTCAGAGATTTTGAGAATGGCACAGAAATGGGAAATGGTTCGGATCTATTCTTCATAGGATCGCCATGAGTCGAGCACAACTCACAGGCATGTAACAACAACAACAACATTTCTGCTGATGTTGGTGAACAGGCAGTTAAGATCAGACATCATCCCTAAAAATGAACAAAAGTAATCAAATGGTTTCTGATGTAGCTCCATCTCAGCCTTTTCATTCGTGACTCTTCTGGATTGAATTTTCCCTTGTCATTTTGCAGAGACACTCTTACCACCGCTCCCATTATGATCCTCCACCAAGCCGGCAGGCAGGAAGTGTACCCCGCTTTCCTGGGGCCAGAAGTCATAGGGGAGCTCTTATGGATTCCCAGCAAGCATCAGGGACCATCGTGCAGATTGTCATCAACAACAAACACAAGCATGGACAAGGTAAGAGGCATCCACGTTGGGGCTTCAGCAGCCTAGGTCTTTCGAGGTTTGGAGATATGAAAGCACCTTTTCACCTGCATGTATCACACAATCGTGTTGATCACTGCCCATTAAAGTTCACAAAGGGAGTATAAACAGACACCACCAGGAGATTCTTAAGGCTCCCCCAAATGTAGCAATCATTATGGTCCTTATTTAGGACAAGGGGCAAGAAAGCAGCTAACCTGATGTCTTCAGTGGGTGGTACATGGGGGTGGACTATGCAATAGGTAGATAAAACATGTGAAACTTTACACTATAGACTAGTGAGTAAAAAAAAGTAAGGCCATACTTATTCTTACTTATTTACTTCATACTCTGTCACTGTCAGGGACTGTAAATTTGAAAAGAGGTTTTGACCCTGTAGGAAGGTTGGGAGAGGCAGATGGCAGCCATACCTAGAAGCAGATTCTTGGACGTGGTAAAAAACAAAAATGTGAAATTGTTTACTGCAGATTAGTGAGTACAAGTCAACCTGTCCTTATTTGGTAACCATTCCAAATGGTACATTGGCAGTCCCCTTTGGGCTTGTGAGGCAGCAGCTAGCATTCTCATAGATGCCCTTGGGAGTTGGGAAAATATGTTGGGTCTTTAACTGAATGGTGGTGAGTTTTCCAATAGGACACCTAACTTACAAAGAACTCAGTGTGGGACACTTCTGAAGCCCTTATCTAAAACTTGGGAATTTAAAAGAGAAAATATGTTCCCATGAGTTGATTCTAACTCATTGTAACCTATAGTCTTCATAGTAATGCGTTGTAGGGCTTTCAATGGTTAGTTTTTCAGAAGTAGATTTCTAGGTTTTGCTTTGGGGGCACTTTTAGTTGGAATCATAGCTCCAACTTTTTTGTTGGGTTTTTTTTTATGTTTAGCTAAAACACAACTTTACTGAGCCGGACCAATAAGACAGCAAGACTTTCACTTAGTGATCACTCTTACAGAATGAACAGAATCCCAACTTCCCATTCACAGAAACCCCTGTGACAGAGACCACAAGGTGCCTGAGGGATGCAGTTGCATGATGTCCAAATCTATTCAGGAAAATGGCTGCAGTTTTAGATTCTCATGCTAACCAAGGATTCTGACCCCATTTGCATGTGAAGTTTTTCTTCTTTCAGTTGTACCATAGTTATGGAAAGTTTAGGAAATTCTGTGGGTCATGAACAATCAAATGCACCTTCCAAAAGAACATACACATTCTAAACTGGCAAGAAAGAGCAAACTACATTGCTCTCCCCTTCTTGGCATTTTACAGCTCCAGCTTTTTGCTTAGCAGGCAAGTATGTTATACAGTTAGACCACTCAGGGATTCTTAGTGGTAAGGAGCTGCCCTGCTAACTCAAAGGCCTACAGTTCTAATCCACCAACTGCTTTGCAGAAGAAAGATGGGCATTCTGCTCCTGTGTGATTAACTGTCTCTGAAATCCTGCCAGAGGGTCAGCTGTAAGTTGATTCCAACTCAGTGGCATAGAACAACAGCATACCTCAGTGCATCTCAAGTTCTCCTTGGGCTCATGGTGGAAGTATATATTTCCAGCTGTACTCTCCCCACCCCTTATTTTTTCTTCTCTCCATTTATTTTTTAACTTTAAAAAAATTGTATTCTGATTTATTTACAAAGTTTGAATACATTGTTTTTCCCTTCCATTTCCTTCACACCACCCACTCATTGAATTGTGCAATCCTATGATTAACACCGTACCCACCCGCCCGTCCTTTCCCCTCTATTTCCACCCCACCCTCCATCTTGGATCCTCATACTCATGCTACAATAATGCTTTTGTACAATATTTGTCCTTGTGAGACTGAGTTAGTTCACTTAGCATAAGGCTAACCCAGCTGTGTGCTTAATACCTGACTTAGTAGGACTGGAGCCCAAGAATCCAAATTTCAGAAAATATGTCAGGTGATTTTGATGCAGGTAGTTTCCTAAGTACACTTTGAATAACACTGGCTTAGGCAGAAGCAGAATTGTAATCAGAATTGCCTCTGCAAGTTTAGGCTAGAGCTAGGGAATTTAACACCTATTTGACACTTATTTCAAAGGAAGTCCCTTCATTGACTCTGGTCTAAACCTAGGACTAGCTCCTTCTCTCTGATGGGGACACTGCTTAAAAGTTTTGTTTCCATGCCATCAGCTTCACCCTTAATCCTCCTATTTAATATAATTTGTGTTTTTTTTTGCTGTCTTTCCTCTAAATTCTGATAAAATTGTTTCCTAGAATTGATTATGACTCATAGCCAAACTGTAGAACCTAGGAGGACTGCCCCATAGGGCTTCCAAGGCTTTTATTTTTACGGAAGTAGACTTCCCCATCTTTTGTTCATGGAGTGGCTGGTGGGTTGCAACCACAGGCCTTTCAGTTAATAGCTGAGCTTCTAAATCTTGGTCTACAGAGCTCCTTGCCCCCCAATTCCCTGAATATAAAAACAACTTCAACTAATAGCTTGCTTAAGTTAAGACTCTAGCTGGAATTTTCTCTGAGATATTATTACTGAGTGCTACAAAAAATGTCTTGTGTGGACAAATAGCCCTGCCCTTGAATGGAGAGCAGGCGGTGAAATTCCATGCCTGATCTCCTACCTCTGCGTGCAGACTCCAGCTCTGAAACATCTTCATCTGCACAAGGATTGAGCACCCCAAAGGTCTGCTTTAGACACCTATATATTGTTGTTGTGTACTGTAGAGTCAGAACCAATCCATGACTGACGCTTCACCAGATATTCAGAGGCAGTTAAGTCACATGGGAGATTGCCCATCCTTCTCTCATGGAACAACTGGCGGCCTCGAATCACATGCCTTCAGCCTTGCAGTGCAGCTTCTTGCCACTAGGACACTACAGCCTATGAAAGCACCACAATCTTATCCATTTTCCTATGAATGTGTTTGCTGAGTCCCTTGAGACAAGAATTGGAGCTTTGAAGCATAGACACCTAGGAAAAATCTTAGGCTTGACTGAGGAGAAAAAGAGTAACCACTGAAGGTTCACAATGACAGTTGAATGTTTTGCATTTTAAAGTTCCTCACACAGACACATCTTATTATTATTGTCCTTGAAGCTGCAACAGATCCCAACTATCTCTCAAAGAAGAAATGCATGGGCCTTGACTTTGCCCTGCATACAACTAATAGTACCACAATGCTATCCATCTGCACCTCTCACTTCAAGAATTTGGCTGCACGTTACCATCATGACCAAGCTTCAAAGGTCAGGGTTTCTTTGTGTTTGGCAATTTCCTTATATGCACAAATTTTCTTGGTACCTGTAAATTTCAAATGATTTAGTCAAGATGGCATTAGCTCACAAAAATGATGGCGTGGTCACTCCATTTTTATTATCTCTTTTGACCTCTACTGAGAAACATTATGCACAGTGAGACAGAATCTTGAAAAGAGTCATCTCCTTCAAATCAAAGAAGCCTATAGAGTAAATGCACCCTTGAAACAACCAAACAAAATCCCATTACCATCGAGTCTATTTTGATTAATAGCTACACTGTAGGACAAAGTGAAAGAGCTCTGATGGAGGGTCACTTTGAGTTGGAATTGACTTGTTAGTGAGAGAAGGTGAGGTTATAAGACAGCATTGTTGTTGCTGTTGTTATGTACTATCGAGTTGGAACTGATCCGTAGCTAATCCTCCAGTGAGTTTTCAGAGGCAGTTAATAGCATGGGAGAAGAGTGCACATCTTTCTTCCTCGGAGCAGCTGGTGGACTTGAATTGAATGCCTTCAGGATTACAGTGCAGTTTCTTGCCACTAGGCCACTAGAGCTCCATGGGGGTGGGGGTGGGGTGGGGAGAAGACAGCCTAGAACTGTCCCATAGAATTTTCCAGGCTATAAATCTTTATGGAAGTTGACTGTCACATGTCTCCCTTAGAATTGGTGCTTAACTACTATATCACCAAGGCTTCCTATCCAAGCAACATAGGCCCAGTTTTCACCAAGAAACAACATAGAAACACAACCTTGACAATGTGATGAAGAAGACAAGAATATCCAGAGAAATCCAGAAACTTCCTGGCCTAGCACAAGGAGGATTGGTCAGGTTAACCCTGACATACAGCTCACTGGCTGTAGCACTCATTCGCATTCATTCATAGGACAATTTCTTTCTCCCTAGCCTTCCTCAGACTCTACACTCCACCCCTTCCCCCAGCCACAATGAAGATGGGCGATGGAGAAAGTCAATCAATCAAATAATTGACTGTTTCTTACTGGGTGGTTTTTTGTTTTGTTTTGGTTTTTTTTTTAGGCATTGTGTCAACCAGCTCTTTGGAGCAAGAACTCAGCTGGCTCCTTTTTATGAAACCACAAACATGTTTTATTTCCTTTAAAGGAAAAACCAAAATCAAAGGCAGTACCCTGAATGGGTTAAAGTAATAAATTATTAAACCAAATGATTTAATAACATGGGTGAAAAGCAATCTGTTACAAAGAACTCCTATAAATCTCAAAAAAAGCTAGTTAAGTCAAAACTAGTTGATCACATCTGTTGCTAGTTAGATTTAAATTTCAGATTACAGATAAAAAATTAAATTGCTTTTGAAACTTACAGGCTTAAAAGAAGAACACTCAAAAACAAAGCCCTTAGTAAAAATAGTGGCATATTAGAAGCATTGGAAATATTTACCATCAATTTGGGTTTAATTTGAAATTTATCATTTTTAAGTTCTAAGGCATTCTGATATGAATTTGTGAATGAGGAAGAGAGGTAAAGATACAATTTTATTTTCAATCCTAAATTGCCTCCAATAGATTTCATTTGCTCTAAACATATTTCAAAGCCTTACAAAGGAAAACAAATGTGAGGAAATGGGCTTTGAAAACCCTGAATCCCATTATTTCCATAAGGCTTCTTCATTTTCAGAGCAGAGATTCATCCCTTGATTTTCATCGTGTCCAACAAAAATCTCCAGCTGGTTTACATTTATTCCTTTGCCCCCATTGTTTGGATGCAACAGTTCTCTCCTGACCTTTCTATTATAGTTCTCTGGAGAATCATTTGCCTCCAACCTCCAACTCCCAACTTCTCAGCTGGATGACTCAAAATAATCTTGAGAATTGGTTGGTGGGGAGAAGACCTAAAGAACTGACTCATCCTAGGTGGCCTAGTGGCAAGAAGCTCCACTACACTTCCTAAAGGCACATGCTTTGAGGCCATCAGCTGGATGGGCACTCTCCTCCCATGTGATTAACTGCCTCTGGAAACATGCTGGAGAGTCAGCTATGGGTTGGTTTTGACTCAAAAGTACATAACAATAACAAATTTCAGAGAGTGAACTCTTACCCATCTGCTAAAGGAGGAGGAACCCAGCCAACACCGAAATGCAACCCGTTGGCTTACCACTGGCTGGAGGATGTACCCACATACATATATTCTGCAAGTCAATATGTCTTATTCTCATTTAACTTCTTGCTAATGATGTGGTCCTCTGAGATACATCCACTTGGGTTTCTTGTTAATCAAAGAGGAGAAGCGATAGGACTCTGATAGTTGGAATTCGGCCTACTTTTGTGTGAAGCTGATTTCGTGTCCACTTGTTCACACTCTTTAGGATGGAGTGAGAGGAAGTGGTGAGGGCAGGGCAGGGAGCAACACATCTGTTCTATAGGTTCTGGTCATCTTTTGTCTTGTGATCCTGTGCACATCCCTAAACCTCATAGTTTAGGTATCAAGTCTCTAATCTGCCTCATTGTGAAGTTAGAAGCCTCCTCACGAGTTTAAATTCTTGGAAATCATTGCATAGATTGACGTGCCTGGTATTCTAGCAGCTCTTTCAAAGGACAAGAAAAGGCAGCCAACCTCATCCATATTTCCTGATGTGACCCAATGGGCTTGATGAGAAAGAAATAGCCTGGTGATTCATCTTCCTGAGGCTGTTGTCTTGAAGCCAAATCAGTCCATTCCTAGAAACGCCCTGAGTAGAGCCCTTTCTCCCACCCTAACCCTGCCTAAAGTGATACAACTCACCCTAGAGATATTGTTGATTGGTATGCCGACAGGTCTCCCCAGATATGATGAGGTGATGGGAATTATAAGAAACACACCCAGTCCCAGCAATGGCCTGAAATCTCCACAGTATCTCAGTATTTTCAGAACGGGAAAGAACTCAATATCAGACTTCCTCATCTGCTGGCCTGTGTGGTTCTTATCCTGCCCAGCTCCTTGTCTTAGAGTAGGAGCCAGAGACATTTTGGTTGATTTGCACTGAAGGATGCTCCTGTGGTCCCTCCTCTTCACAGGCACCTTGGCGTGTAGCCCAGTTATTTGCTGTGTCAAGGCCCCTTACAAGACATGGAACCAATGAATCCACTTACCATTCAACAAGTATGAGACTGCCAAAGGATATTTGTGGGCAGAGAGGGATTCTATGTAGCTGAATCTCTAAAGCCACTGTGAGGTTATTTTTGTTAGGTACTATCAAATCAATTCCATCTCAGAGACCTTATTAAAATCAGATCAAAACTATGCCATCTTCACAGTCTGCCATACTCAATGCAATTGTTGTAACCACTATGTGAATCTATTTCATTGAGGGTCTACTTCTCTTTTGCTAACTCTCCACATTTCCAAGCATGATGTCTTTGCTGGAAAAGAGTCTTGAACATACCATGGACTGCCAAGAAAACAAATAAGTTTGTTTAAGAGAGGGTGAAACCAAGTTTCCCCTTGGAGAATAAGATTTTGAAGCTCTGTCTTACATACTTTGGGAGCATGTCCAGGAGTGACTGGTCCTTGGAGAAGGACATCATGCTTGGCAGGGTAGAGGGACAGCACTAGAGAGGAAGACCCCAGATGAAATGGATTGATACAGTAACTGAGGCAATGGGGGTAGGTGTGTTGGAGTCAGTGAGACTGGGTCAGGACAAAGCAGGCTTCAGAGCTGTTATACATTGGGTTGCTATGGGTCACAGGCAACTTGATGGCACATAACAAGAGTGCCTTTTGGCAACATGCTCAGTGTATGTGATGAAGTTCCACCACCTTTGACTCTAAGGAACACCCTGGTTGCATTTTCTGTAAGAAAGATTTATTTGTCCTTTTAGTAGTCCATAGGATATTAAGTAATCTTTGCTAACACAGGAACAAGCTATTCAGAAAGCATTCTTGGGCTGGCATTGCTGTACAGAGGTAACTCATGGTTGCTGTGATGCAAAACACTGTGACACCAATGTGTCAAATGCGATAATGGTCACCCATGGTGGACAGTGTTTGGTGGAACTCCCCAATTAAAACAAGCTTGGGAGCAGGAGGGGCATCCACTTCCAAAATGGCTTGCCTCTGGAAACTCTATGAACAATGCTCAAGTCTTTCATTCAGAGGGTCACTATGAGTCATCTATGACTCGATGGCACTTAACAACAACAACAACAACAACATTCAGAAACGGGTTCTTTTCCTCTCAGTCTTGTCTTAGCACCTTCCTTCCTTCCTACTTCAGAGAATAGACCTGTGCCATTAAACTCCATACTCATCTGTATGTATTGGTCCATAAGATGCTGATATAACATTCTGCATAGATTTGCTCCAGGATCAGGAAAAACTGGCTAGTAGGGAAGACTGAAAGTTTTTGCATCTACCTTCACTGGACAGTGAATTCTGCTGATAAATTTTCTTATCCAGAAGCACATCCCTTGGGCCATAACATCCTTCCTGGAATTGCATCTTGAACACTACATAGAGATTTCTTGCCAGATATCCAAGACAGGTAGAGATATACTGTCATGTATTCATTCATTCCCCCATTTAAAAACAAAGATTTATTAACTCTGCTATATGTCAACTCCTACCAACAAACAACTTATTGTCAGGTATATGTGAGCACCCAGGGGCAACTATTAAAAAACTGGATAGCTGTTGACAATAGAGCAAAGCCTAAGCTGTTTCTTGGTTCCACAGACTACTCTGTCACTGTATATTCAAAACCATGAGAAGAACAGAAGACATTTGGTATGTTAGGGAGTTCAAGGCATGAGTTCTGAGCAAAGGGGCCCACTTTAGCTTGCTAGCTTTTAATTTCCAATCCTGTGTCCTCTTCCAGTGTGTGTTTCCAATGGAAAGACGTATTCCCATGGCGAATCCTGGCATCCAAACCTCCGGGCCTTTGGCGTTGTTGAATGTGTTCTGTGCACTTGTAATGTCACCAAGCAGGAGTGTAAGAAAATCCACTGCCCCAGCCGATACCCCTGCAAGTATCCTCAAAAAATAGATGGGAAATGCTGCAAGGTGTGTCCAGGTAAAAAATCAAAAGGTGCGTTGGTTGGAGGCCCTACCTTTGGTTTACTAAGATCCCCACATAGTTAGTCATTTTCAAATTCTTTGAGCATCAGAAGTATAATCAACCTGTCATATTATTTTAATGATCATAGATCTAATAATAATAATGAACTTAACTCCTTTCTGGAAGGGCTGACAAGATGATTGTTTGTAAGAAAGTTATAAATTAATAAATATTTGGGGAAACATGCCACTAGGATGTTCCAGTGACTGTAATTAAGGTACTTGACTGTTAACCCAAGGGTTGAACCCATCAGGTGCTCCTGGAAAGAAAGATGGGACAGTCTGATTCTTTAAAATTTCATATCCCTATTAAAAAACCATTATTGTAGAATGAGTATGAGGATCCAAGGGGAGGGAGGGTGGAAGCAGAGGAATGAGGATGTGCAGGAAAGGAGAATTAATCATGGGGTTGTACAATTTTATGGGGAGGGGGTGAGAGATATTGGAAGAATCCGGTCTGAAAAACAATGTATTCAAATTTTGTAAATAAACTAGTATAATTTAAAAAATGGAAGAAAAAAGAGAAATAAACCTGAATTGTATTTTAAAAAAATCATATCCCTTATGCAGCCTACATATGTTGAAAGGAGATAAGGACCAACCCAGAAAGCTAACTGAGAGGAAAATGCTTTCCCAAAGAACCAGGACCCTAGTTTAAGGCTACCAGACTTCTAAACTATGAGAGAATACATTTATGTTTGCTAAATTAAAAAGAAATCATATCCTTGGGAATCTTATGAGGAAGATCTCCATTGTCCTACTGGGTCTCTATGAGTTAGGATCTATTTGATGGCAGTAGACTTTTACCACATCATTGACACATGAAGTCTCAAGTACCAAACTTAATCTTGCTCTATAAAGTACTACAGATATAAGTATTAAGAAGAACAATAGCACTTTTCATTTACATCATTAGTCATTTACAGCAAAGCACCTTACACTTCTGAGATAGGATATAATACAGATGTGATATAAAGGAAGAAAGCTAGGTTCTGGGCCAGTTTTCTAACTTGTGTGTGACTTTGGATATATGCTATAACTACTTTGTGTGTCTCAACAGTTTTAGCTGTACTATGAGAAATTTAGAACAATTGATCTCAAAGTTCCCCCCCCCAAATAAAATTCCATCATTTCTTTTACAGAAAAGAAATCGTGGTGTAAAAAGTAAAATGGCTTGCCCAGAACCACATAACTAAGTGATAATAAAATCAAGGCCTAGAACTCAGGTCACAATTCTAGCTCAATGCATTTTTTGGGGAATGGTGAGAAAAAAAAATTTATATTTAGAATTAGACAGCTGGACTCAGTTTAGATGATCCAAATTTTTTTGGCAACGTCCAAAGCATCATAGTTAGGAGCAAGTCAAATGTAGGCCTTCTTCTCTCCATCAGGCCTAATCAAAGTGTTGACCTTAGCCACATCAATGTCATAGAGCTTCTTTACAGCTTGTTTAATTTGGTGCTTGACATCCACAATGAACATAAATGTGTTGTTGACTTCTATCTTCTTCATGACTGACTCAGTGGTCAGGGGAAACTTGATGATGGCATAGTGGTCAAGCTTGTTTCTCCTGGGGGCGCTCTTCCAGGGATATTTGGGCTGCCTTGGGAGTCTCAGCGTCTTAGGCCACCAGAAGGTGGGTGACATGTGGATCTTCTTGATTTTTTTTTTTGGCTGTGGATGCCCTTCAGGACTGCCTTCTTGGCCTTTAACGCCTTTGCTTTGGCTTCTGTTTTGGGAGGGGCAGGGGCTTCCTTTGCTTTCGGCACCATCTTCGTAGAAAAGGCTCAATGCATTTTTTAAGTCCGTAGATAATGATGATTTATTGGTTGTTTATGTCATGATTTGAAAACATGGTTTGTTGATTGTTGTGTGCTGTTGATTCGGAGTTGACTCATAACCAACCTCCCAGCAAGTTTTCAGAGGCTGTAAATTGCACAGCCTTTTCCCATGGAGCAACTGGTGGATTTTAATTGTTTGCCTTTGGATTGAAGCACAGCCACTAATGTGCCACTAAGCCACCAGAGCTTGAAAATGTGGAATAGTTAAAAATATGGTATGGAGTAATGGGATATGAGTTCGGTATTGATAATCAAACATTTTAGCCCTGGATCTGCCAAATTTTCTGCTCAGTTTCCTTCTATTAAAAAAAAGGCAACTAGAAGAAGCCCTGGCAGCATAGTGTTGGCCTGCTAACCAAAAGATCAGCCATTCAAACCCACCAGGTACCCCTTGGAAGAAAGATGGGAAGTCTCCTTCTATAAGCTTTACAGCATCGGATACTGGATGAAGAGTTGCCAATAGGCAAAATCAACTCAGCAGCTGTGGATTTGGTTTTTCAGTTTGGTCTAGTTCCCACATTCTAAGACTCAATGAATCAGTCACTTCCAGGAACAGGAATTCATCATGTCTTCTGCCTACCTGTAAAGTATTTCTGTACACATGGAATAGAAAACCACATAGGTAGTGAGTTAAATCATCTGATCTTCCATCTTAGGAAGTTTCTCCTGATTATCAGACAACTGTTTACTCAGTTAATATATATTTATTGGTCATCTTCAGTATAATGTGCAATGATACCCAGACTTTGCATGCCATCACTCAAAGATATTCTAAAAAGAACTGTGTCTCATCCCCAGAAATTAAGATTTAATCAGCAGTAGATATGGCCTGGACTTGGGCAATTTCCAAAGATCTTTAAGTGTTATTAATGTGCATATGAGTCTGAGAACCACTGCTGTAGTCCCATGTTGGTTTATGAAGTCATTACTCAAAGTATAGTATATGAATCTGCAACATGAGTATCATCTGATCGTTTGTTAGAAGTGTAGATTCTCATGTTCTTAGCCAGACATACTTTGTCAGTCAGAATATGTATTTTCACAAGGTCCTCAATTAAATATACACTGATGCTTGATAAACTCTGGTTAGGAGAACATATTTCATCTAACTCAAAATTCAAACTCAATGCCAAGTCAAAATCATAGATGACCCTCCATTGGGTTTCCAAGGCTGTAAATTGCATCAAAGAGGTTTCCCATCTTTCACCTGAGGGGCCACTGGTAGAGCATACATCTTCCTTAATGCAACATTTTTCATCTTCTAGAGTAAATGAGGATTGAGGTATAGGGAAGAGTAGGGGGCTATATGATGTCTGAAAACAGACATTAGTATTGATGGGGGAAAAGGATCTATTTTAGATGGGAAATAAGCACATTTAAAGAAGGATATGGACATTGTGATCTGTTATGATTTCTAAGTCTGTGATCTTATTAAAACGTTTTTGTATTTTCTTGCTGCCATCTATACAGTTATATAAATATTACAGCAAGATAATTTTAAACAAAACTAATCATTACCAAAATTACCCCATGTAAAACAAAGCCTCCCAGTATAAAAGATTCCATTTTGAATCGCACACCTTCAGACCAAATCCCATTTTATTTCATGCATAGGATTTTACTGATCCAGATGACTCAAAGTTAAGAATCAAAAAGGCATGTCATAGACATTATCTTTTAAATAATGAACCTTTCAAGTTGGTTTTGAATATTCCATGGAATGTCAAAAGAATAAACAGATATGTCTTGGGAAAAGTGTACCAGAGTGCTCCTTGGAGGCAAAGGTGATAAAGCTTCATCTCACATCCTTTGGACATGTTGCTAGAAGAGGCTATTCTTACAAAAGGGACATCAGGCTTGGAAGGGTGGAAAGTTGGCAAAAGTGAAGAAGACTCTCAAAACCTCAACTCAACCGAACAAATTGACACGGTGATTACAGCAAAGGGATCAAATGTGTGAGATATTGTGACAGGATAGAACAAGGTTCAGAACTGTTGTTCATAGATCAGTATGAGTCATACTCAACTCAGCAGGGCTTAACAACAAGAAATTGGTTTATATAAAAAATTAATGTGGATGTTCTTGCTTACTTTAGGGAGCTCTGGTAGTATTGATAATCTAAAGGCCACACATGAGTCTGAAGTGGTTAGAATCCACCAGCAGCTCCTTGGGAGTGAAATAGGCAGACAATTTACATTCTCAGAAATCCAGTGGAGTTATGAGTCAAAACTGACTCTCCAGCAGTAAGGATTTTTTCTTTTAATTTACATGTTATATACTATATGTGTAATATTCCATCTCCTTGGAGTACTAGAAAAGGAATCAGGGACATGTACACAGCTCAAAAAAAGGGATGTTTACTATAGTACTTTTTCTAAAAGTGGAAAATTTGAACCAGTATTAAAGTCCATCAATATGAGAATGGTTAAATAAATTATGGTATCTCTATAAGGTGAAATTTTATACAGCCATTAAAGATCTTTGTAGACCAAGATTGAATGGCATGGAAAGATGTTTGAAGTATAATTAGTACAAAGGCCAACCTATAAAACAATATGTGTATGAAGTTACTGTTGTTGTTATATACCATCAAGTCTGAACCGACTTATAACTCACCTTTAGTGGGTTTTCAGAGGCTGTAAATCACACAAGAGGAGATTGCCCATCTTTCTCCTTTGGAGCAGCTGATAGATTCAAATCACATCCCTTTGGGTTGACAATACAACTCTTTACCCACTAGGCCACCAGAACTCTCCTGTGAAGTTACTGCTTATGTTAAAACAAGTGATTGTGCATGGCTAATAAAAGAAATTAAAATATAAAAGGTTGAAAGGGTATACGGTAGAATGTTAACTTTGGCCATCTTTGGGAGATTGAATTATGGATAATTCTTTTCATTTATGTTTCCTAAATTTTAACAATAAACATATTACTTTTGTAATCATAAAAATTATTTAGAGTTATTATACCAAAAGTCACCCTCCAGAATCTCAAAATGACAATAAATTGAAGAGCATGATTGACTAAATTTATTTCTCTGGAAGAGCCACTTTTCCACCTGGCTCAAGTTGTGGAAATAGAAGATTGCTTGGGCAACATGCGAGAGGAAAATTTCCATTATATTCTGTGT